TTAGCTTTGCCCTTTAGCTTGCAAGATCTGTGGCCCAGAAGCTGGACAAACATGCAGCTTCCACAGGCAGACACAGCTTTAACTGCTCTCTTATTCCTGTCTGCACCTCCAAAACAGCACATGTCTAAGCTACTCTCAACCATTCCAGGACTAAGTCAGAGAAAAATAGATATAGCTGCAAAAATGCATTTATTATCATCATTCTCAGAACTGAAAGCAGCACTGGGCAATCTGGCAAGTCCAAGTGCAGCAGTTTAGAAAGTGAGGGAGATTAATGGATGAGTGAGTAACTGGGGGGCATCTAATAAAGCTTTCAACAACTCATTCCCAGGATCCAGTCTGAATGGTGTTCAGACTCACAGCTGGGCTGCAGAAAGAGAGCAGGAACAGCCTCAGTGCTCACTGATGGATTTACTGTTCCCTGCAGGCATTACAGGATGCTGACCCCAAATTGCAGCTCCCTCACATTTTGAGCAGGGGAACCAGCCAAAACTTTAATGGCCACAGGTATGTTAAGCCACTACTGGGTCCCAGTGACTCACTGGGAGTGAGACCTGCCAGTATGGGTGCTTGCAAGCCCTTTGATGCCCAACACATCCCTGTTCTCTGATAACCCCTCTGGAGTGCATCCTCAGGGCTGCTGTACCACCATGGTCAGCCTGGGAGGGGGGGCAGGTCAATGGGCAAGTGGAAGGCAAATAAATCTGTTTGTGGAAGTGCCACCACAAAGGCTGGGTAGCTGGGGCATGGAGCTGCCTGATGGATGCTGACCACTGCTGTCTGCGCTCTGGGCAGCACACACAGATCTCTCTTCCCCATTCGACCAGCCAGGGGGATCACAGACCCTGGCCTGCCTGAGGCTCATCCTTGGCCTCCCAGCAGGCACAAAGACAGCAGTGTGTGTGTCCAGGGAGGAAGCTGGGAGCTGGGCCCATTGCAACTGCAGCTGTTTGCACAATGCAGAGCGTGTTCCAGTTGCACTCACATGCTGCAGGGGCCATGGCTTGAGAGCAAGGAGAACCCTCATTTTGCAGTCTTAGAAATTGCCCCATGTGAAATGCTAGAAGAAAAGGCAGCAAAATTGAATGGCCAGAACAAAATCATTCAGCCTGAACACCTGGCTAAGGAGGTTTTCCTTTGGGATGCAGACTGAGGGGAGGCTTAGACAGCCAGGTCTAATGCTAAAAAGCACAGCATGGGCTGTTTGAGCCATCATGCTTTGCTCCCAGCCTGCAGGGCTTTAGGGTTTTGACTGAAAGGCAAACACAGATGGATAGTGGAGCTACTTAAGTGTCTAGACCAGAGGAAGTTGCAGCCCCCTAAGTGCAGGTCCTGCATGGTTCTCAGCCAGTTCCCATCTCCTACATCAGGCAAGACACAGGGGACTGCCACACTCTGCAAAGTGAATTCTCCTCAGGTGAGAGAGAGGACGAATTGTATACAGCCAGGGTCAAGTATTGTGCCTGCTGGCTACCTGCCAGTCACAGGACAACCCAGGGTGGCACAGCACATGTGCTGCCATTTGCCACGTCCACAGACCTGGCAGCCTTGTGGCTTGGTGTCCAGCATGGGCTGAGCCCACTTTGAATCCACGAAGGAATCAGGTACAGTATAACTTGCAGGCACCGTGCTGGTATGGGGGCACCTTGCCATATGTGACACAGGCAAAGCCCCAGGGTCAGTGGGATGTAAACAGGAATTACCAGCTGCTAAACAGCCCTGGCCTCAACTGTTCCCCACACAGCAAACAGGATGCTGAGAGATCCTGCTGCTGCTGAGGATCCTGCTCCCACAGCTGTGAAGGGAAGGGAGCCAGAGTAACCTCCTCATAAAGGACCCCCCTGCCCCCAAGTCTCAGTGCCATGATCTCAGCTGATGACAGAGGGGCAGAGCTAGCTTTCGTGCAGGGAAGCTTTTCTCTCCAGAGACACATTTTGAAAGCTCACTTGGGCCTAGAAGTCTGATCAGACTATGGATCACATAGGAAGCTGTGGAGATTGTTGTGTGCATGTGCTCTTTGGCAATTGCTGGCATCAGGCAAACTCTGCTCAACTGAGGTGACAATGGGGTAACCCAAAAGCTACTGCTCCTATCCACACTGACCTCACACTGTCACCTAAGAGACAATAGCACTTGTCCAGTCTAGGGTGACATCACCACCAGTGGCTGGAAGCAGACAGCTAGACAGGCAGGGAACAGGTTGAACACAGGAATATTGCCTCAAATTCATTCTCAGCCTTCAGTGATGCAGGTGTATCTGAGGCTGGAAGAAGCAACTCAACTAAATACCTCATCATGTTTTGTTTTTTTTTTAATTCTTCCTTGGAATCAGTCTCAAGTTCTGACTATCCTGCCCTAGATCTTTTCCAGGCCCAATTAGCTCAAGGCCTTCTGCTGCTCCTCCAGTTTACAATGGGGTGTTAAAAAATAGTAATAAAATGCAAGCCAACTCAGCCAGACCTGGATAAAGTTTCCATCACATTCTTAAAGAGATGACTATGACAATGTAGGGAAAACTAAGTCACAGCCTTGGAAAAGTAGGAAACACCAAGTAAGGTGGCTTTTCCCACTCAGTAGCTAGGGCAATGTGGGAAGGAAGGCAGTTTCAGACAGACCATTTTATCTCTGAGGCCAGATGGCTTTAAATGCTTCCCCAGAGCTTGGAAAGGGCCAGGCACTTCTTTGAATTGCTTTTCATACCACCTCATTAGAAAGTAAAAGGGAAGAAATGAACAATCTATAACTTTGTGGCAACGGGAAACAGCTCTGTTAATCCCATTTCCTTCCCCAAGCTTACTCAGGGCAGGTCGTCCAGCATCAGGGCCACATCACCTAATCTGCTTATCATTGTCCCACAGTCAGGAGCCTGGGCACCAGCCCAAAGGGCACATGCATCCTCCTGGGCATTATTGATAAATTGGAAAGGCACAGGTTTTTAAACCTACCCTGGTACACAACTGTGATACCCCTGGCACCCAGCTTCTACTGCAGCTGAAGATCCAAGGAGTGGCCACCTTCCAGACTCAAGCCTGCATGAACAAGGGCAAGAGGGGCACAGCACTGCTGGAGGAACAGATGAGAGAAAAAGGAAAGTGCTGCAGATAGAGGGATCCTAGGGCAGGCACTGCAAAGCCCAGGGTAGGCATTACCCTCAGATTTCTTAGCCTTTCTGGGTAAAATGTGGGCAAATCCAAAAAAATGGAGAGTTTCTCCCTTTCCATCAGGGTTGGCACACGCCCCACCCACACATCCGGGATGGGGAGAAAAGCCCTGGCCAGCCATGCAGGACTCAGGGCTTGCTATCACCTGCTCACAGCTTGACTTGGCTGGTCCATGGGCAACCTGACAGCTCTGCCACCAAGCTGTGATTTGTCACCTTAGTAAAAGCCTCCTGAGCTGAGGGGAGGCAAAGGGCAGGCCCTCATCCATGGCACTGTGCCACCCAGCTTGCTACAGCCCTTTCCTTCTGCCCCACTCTCCCCCAGGAGCACTGCATCTCACAGCCAACTTCCATGTGGTGTCCAGATGGAAAGGTGTCCAGCTACAGCCTCACGAGAGAGTCGGGACTGTAAGGTTTCAGGGTTGCAGCACCTGCTCCTGTGCAGGGATCCCATGGCAGAAGGCGGACTTGGGAAACACATCAGTCCAGCAGTGTTTGGTGTGTTGGTTGGACACAGAGCTCCCAGGGCAGTAGTGAGTGTCTTGGCACAGAGTCAGTGGCCAGAGTAGGGTAAAAGTTACAGAAGTTAATTGGACAGGAAAGGAATCAGCAACACCTAGCTTAGATTCCCAGACGAGGAGTGCCAAGTTTTAGCAAGCTACTGTCTGCGGACAATAAAGCCAGGTGTTCCTGTTCTGGAGCTGTGCTCATCTGGCTGCTCTGCAGGCATGGCTGGGGACATGAGCCTTTGGCTGAGTCCAACCCACTCCTGCCTTCCAGCTGGACTAAGATCCAGTCTTCAACAACTTCAAAATCCCTCCCAAGAATTATCTGGCACCCATAGAGCTGAAGGGCTTCAGGACTTGGGGAAATAGCTGTGGAAGCTGAGGAGAGGGGAAGGAAGCCAGGAGCAGCTGGTCCAGCACAGACCCACCCAGCCCTCCAGGAGCCAGCAGTGCAAAGGTGCCCTGGGGCACGCACAGCCAGCCAGCCTTCCAGCTCAGCCGGCGCGGCTCATCCCAAATTGATCCAGAGAGGATGCTGCCCTCTCCTGGGCTCAGTGTGACTGGCAGAAATTCAGGGAAATGTGGTGAGGCCCAAGACGAGTGCTTTGCGGGGCTCAAAATCTCACACTGGGGTTCTCAAACGTGGTGCTTTCCCGTTCCTGTCCCAGTGGACATCTCAGGGACTCTGCCCACCGAGGCTGCTGCGTCTGCGGGTGCCCTTTAAGGGCAGCCTGGGACGGGAGGAGCTGGGCCAAGCTCAGCAGCTCTCCCTGAAGGAGAGGGAGATGGGGAGGTCTCTTGAGCCAGTTATCAACTTTGAGATCTGCCAGCACCTCATCTTAATTATTCTCATTAATTAGATAATTAATTTGATAGAAAAATAAGCTCGCATGCAGTTAATGAAGGAGGGTCCCATGCCGCCCCAGCAACCCGGGCACGGTCCCCATCCCTCCACCTGCGACCGGCAGCGGAGGCCGGAGCTCCGACGGCCCTGGGAGGCGCTGTCCCTACGGCAGTGCCGGCCAGCCCTGCCCGGGCCGGCTCCGCCTGCCGGCACCGCGTCCTGCCCGCACCGCCCCACGGGCGGGCCGGGGCGGCTCCGCGGGCTGCGCGCCGGGGGAGCTCGGGGAGCGCCGGGGGAGCTCGGGGAGCGCCGGGGGAGCTCGGGGAGCGCCGGGGGAGCTCGGGGAGCGCCGGGGGAGCTCGGGGAGCGCCGGGGGACCCCTTGCCCTGCCTGCACCGGTGCCGTAGCTCCTGTCCAGCGAGCCCCGGAGCTCCCGCGGACCTCAGGCCAGCGGGAGCCCTCTGGAGCCCGCTTCACCCACCGCCCCAGCATGCGGACGCCGACGGAGATGATCGTGGGGCTGGTGCTGTGCCCCTGCGGGCTCCTGCTGACGCTCACGGGCACGCTGGCACCCGCCTGGAGGCAGGTGAGCCTCGTACCTGACCAGCCCATGGACGTCGTCTGGGAGCAGGGCATTTGGGACATATGCAGGGAGCGGCAGAGCACCCATGACCGCCTCTGCGGACAGGCTGACGAGCTGGGCTACTTTGAGCAGGTGCCCGTGCGGGTGGCCCAAGGGCTGATGCCCTCCTCGCTGGTGGTCACCCTGGTGGGCTTGGTGGTGGCTACCCTGGGTGTTCGCTGCTGGCAGCCGGAGCCCCGGCACCTGGTGGCCGGCGTGGCGGGGCTGGTGCTGCTCCTCTCTGGGCTGATGAGCCTCGTGCCCAGCTCCTGGTACACGCAGGAGCTGTGGGCACTGCCTGCAGCACCTGGCAGCACGCTGAGCGTAGGCTACAGCTTGGTACTGAGCTATTTGGGAAGCTGTCTGGAGATCCTGGGAGGGCTGGCCCTCGCCCTCAGCTTCCATCACTGCTGCAAGGAGCGCAGGGCTCCCAAATTGCCCCCCACCCCTGTGACAGAGGCTGGGTCGTGCACCAGTAGAGCTTACAGCAATCCCTGGGATGTGCTGGAGGATGAGCAAGACGGACGGCACTGGGGGAGCAGACCACCTTGTGACTCTGACTTGTAGCCCCAGCACTGGGACAGCAGTCACCTCCCTGGCATCAAGAGCAGTGCTGGCCCCTGCCACTACAAGCCATGCCCTTCTCCTGGGGCCCCTCTGAACAGGCTGGAAACAAGACCAAGGACCTGTTTTGAATATTTGTAATGTAACTTCATCAAAAGCCTGCTGTGCTCCAGGATCTACAACCATGCCAAAGCCATGCTGGATTGAGGGAGGACCAGAGGTGGCTCCAGTCCCTCCATACCACGTTTACCTCATCTTCCTGTACCGTGCACAGCAGCTTGGGCAGAGACAGCTTTGGTGCTCCCATGTACTTACATGGGAACAGACAGTTCAGAAGTGTGTAACCTTCAGAGCTGGCAGTAGGGGAGGGGAGCACCTGTCTCATGTCTCTGCTCAGCTCAGGACCGTGCAAACAGCGAAATAAATGCAAAGCCATGGGTTTGTGCTGTGGGATGGTTATGGGCTTTCTGCCAGGCAGGTTGGGCTGAGAGCCAGTGGGCACGGCTCACCTGACTTCCCTGTGTTTTGCCTGAAGCAGGGAGGAAAGGTTTGTTAAAAGGGCAGAGCTAGCTTTTATAGCATTTTCCCAAAGGACTTTCCCCCCCATGGTCAAAATCAGATCTAGAAGAGATTTCTGCTTCCTTGAGCATAGCCACTTCAGGGTGCAGTAGGGAGGGTGGGGGGAGGAAGATCACAGAGAAAAAAATAGCATTTATTTCCCCTTTCAAAAGTAGCTTGGTGTGAGGTGGTAAAACTGGTCTCACTGGTTTGTAAGGGACACTCAGGAGGTCAGAATTGCACTATGAAATCCTCCTCAGCCCCCTGCATTACAAGGTAAGAGCCAAGTGAGCTTCCTTGTAGAGTTATTTAGCCAGATTCTTATACCAGGCAAGCCCAAAGCACTCTGGTCAGCAAGCTAAGCCTTGCTACAGAGGGACAGTACTCAAGGGACAGTCTCAGAGACTTACTGATAAACCTCCCAAATGTTTTTTGTCTGTATTCTTATGTTCCCTAGGTCTTAAACATCTAGAAAGATCAAACCAATCTCCCCTTCCCAGCCCACACACAAACCACAATGGCACAAGAGATGCTGCACAATGTTCCTTTATGAAAATACGGTGTTCTTGTGAGATGGTCCTTTCCTCAGCAGGGCTGGCAGCTCCTGCAGAAATCAGAGATGGGTGTATCAGGGGCGAGCTTGACAACTCTAAGCCCACCCCACACCTTTGCACAGGGGGTCCAGCCACAGCCAGAGTGGGACAGCCCTCTCAGACTCTAGGCACCCCTGGTCTTGCCCCTCTCCTTCAGCAGGAGGGCAGAGCTTGCCTCAGGAGTGGGCACCATGGGGCACTGCAGGGTGGCTGAGGGGTCCCTAGCAGGGCCTGCTCCAGATGCTACTCACCTCTTTCCCTTCATAAGCTTCATTCACAAATGTATCACTCTTGGGGGGAAGCTCTTCCTCCTCTTCCTCGTCCTCTTCCTCTGGATCACTTTCACGGTGGTACAAGGTCAGCACCCGAGTGGAAGCAGTGCTCGAAGTCCTGGGGAGGGAAAAATGTACACTGAGAATGGCACGGCCAACTTCTAGAGATGGGGCAGATCCCAAAGTCCTGCCACAACCCCTGGTAATAACTTGCTGGGGTGACTGGAGCTTTCCATATAACTTAGGAGTGCATTAGGACTCCACACTGTCCCTGGGCAAGGAGACTCTGTGCCTCTCTGTTCCCAGTTGTACCTGGCCTAGCTCAGCCCCAGAGCTCACCTCCTCCGCCTGTCCCGCCTCCGCATGTAGGCCAGGGCCCCCACAGCAGCAGCAGCGAGCAGCAGGAGCACGGCCACCCCCAGGACAATGGGTCCTGCCAGGGGCTGCACCTCGGCCTCCTCGCAGTAGTCACCACGATAGCCCAGGGCGCAGTGGCACGTCACTCGGCCAGCCTCGATGGCACAGTCCCCGCGCAGGTTGCATGTCTCGCTGCTGCAGGGCACAGCCCCCAGCACCTCCTCTGTGCTGGGGGGTACCACGAAGGGCTCTCCATGCTCCTGCAGGCCAGGGGCTGCAGATAGGCTGGGGAAGGGCTGCTGAGGCTGGGGTGCCGCTATGGATGAGACTGGTTTCTGTTCTACGTGGGACGTTCCTGATGGTGCCACTGCAGGGACCTGCGTCCCCACCTTCACCGAGGCGCCTGGAGGGATGGGCATAGATCAGCATAGGCTCGGGTAAGACCCCCTTCCCAAACTGGGGGCAACTGGGCAGGCTGCCCTGTGCCCAGGACGCCCTGGCTGTGGGCAGGCACTCACAGTCAGACTCGTCGGAGCTGTCAGCACAGTCAGGGTGCCCATCACAGACCTGCTCTCTGGAGATGCAGCTCTGGAGGTTGGAGCAGGCCTGAAGCGGGGCAGGGCACGGCGGTGCCAGCGCACACGCTGCCCCGTGCACCAGGTGGTACCCGGGAGAGCAGCGGCACTGCCGCCCTGCAGGGTTGGGCAGGCAGAGCTGGGCACAGCCCCCATTGCTCTTTGCACAGCCATTGGTGCCTGCCAAAACAGCGCTGGTTAGCACGGCCACCACAAGGCACAGCTGAACCCTACAAACACCCTGGGCTGGGGCAGTCCCAGACCCACCTTCCTGTGAGAACTGGCTGTAAATCCTCATGGCTACCAGCTCCTGCTCCATCGGGAACCACCAGTTCTCAGCCTGCTCCAGCCGGCTGTGCCAGACCTTGCTGGAGCCTGGAGACACACGGGGTCAGCACCACTCCACCTCCTCCCACAAGGGTGCCCGAGATGGGAGGTAGGGGTCCCCTAGCTTGCTCTTCACCCCACAGAAGGGCAAGCCTGCACCCTACAGGGACTGTCGGAACCTCGAGTCCTAGTGCAGTAGGAGGAGCTGGGCAAAGCACAGCAAACAGACCTACCATTGGTTGAGGTTGTGCTCCAGAGCAGAAAGCCTTCTCCTACGGCAAAGAGCGAGAGACCATGCAGCCCTTCCCGCACCACCCGGAAGCGGGATCCATCCAGCTCAACACTGCTGATGGTACCTCTCTCTGCAAGGCACAGATGGAGAGGCTTCAGTGTGGCGACAGAGAGGGCTCCGGGGGCTGCCCCTCAGGGCTATGCCAGGCCATGCTTTGCAGACTGAGTGCCTGCACCACTGCAGTGCCCTGGCTCAGTCCTCACTCACCGTGGTCTGCCCAGTACAGCCTGGTGCCAGCACCCCCAAAGGCAAGGCCAGCGGGAGCCCGGGCTCTCCTCCAGACCGCTCTGCGGCCAGTGCCGTCCATGGCCGCACACTCTACCATGGCACCACGCCCATGGCTGCCAGCTGCCGTGACAAAGCACATGGTGGAAGCACGAGGACACAGCGCCAGCCAGGCAGCGCCCTGCAGCCCCTCGCTGAGTAGTGCCAGGGCCCACCGCCCCCTGGGAGCTGCCACATGGATGCTGGGCGGCTGGCCCCCGATCCAGTAAAGGTTCCCACTCAGCCAGTCCAAGGCTAGGGATGTCACCGTGCCCTCCACAGCTACTGCCTTCTTCCAGGACAGCCGTCCCCAGTCCTTCAGGCGCAGCAGTCCGATGGAATTGCCTCCCACTTCTGCAAAATACAAACTCTTGTCTTTCACTGCATAGTCGACAGCTGTCAGGCGGCTCACCTTGGCCAAAGGCAGGGCCCGGTGCGGGGGAAGCCCTTGGGATCCAGCGGATGCAGGCAAGTCCCTCAGGTAGACCTGGAGGAAGGAGGCAGCACTAAGATGGGAACCCCTCTTCCCTGACAGCTGTGACAACAGCAGCCCCCAGGGCTGGCTCCATAGGATGGTACCTGTGTAACAGCTGCCGGTGACACCAGGAGGGCAAAGGCCGAATCGCGCACGGGCAGGCAGGTGGTCTCGTTGGCGGCCAGCATCAGCCCAGCGGGGCAGCGGCACTGCCCAGTGTGCCTGAAGCTCAGCAGGCACAGGTGGGAGCAGCCACGTGTCTCACAGGGGTTGGGGGCAGTGGGGCGCAGGGCTGGGTGCATCACCTGTGGGACAGCAGGCTCAGGCTCAGCTCTGTCAGCACACACCGGTAGAGCTGAGCACGACTGACACCACACCTTGCTCCCACGGCCCACACACAGCCCAGCTCAGGGCAGGATGGTGAGGCAGAGATGCTCCAAGGGGACCAGAGACACTTGGCCACAGAGACTGGGATGGGGGTACAGCTCCCAGTGCCTCCACACTCAGAGAACAACGGGGCTGTGCAGGATGGGAGATCAGCAGAGCTTGTACAGCAGGGTTTGGGGCTCCCCAAGAAGGTACCTGGAGTCCATGGGGCTGCCCGTGCCGTTTGAGCAGCACAGTCCTGTTCTTGCCGCTGGCCTTGTCCACCTGCTGCACAGACCACATCTTCCTCTCCGACCAGTAGAGCTGCCCCTCGCACACAGCTGCCGCAAAGGGGCTCTGGACCCAGCGCAGCTTCAGGACCTGTCAGAGAAGCTGTCAGTGCTCACCCTGGTCCCCATCAGGGCCCCATCACCAGTGCCCCACCACACCTTCACGCTGCTGCCATCCAGATGTGCAGAACCAACACTGCCCAGCTTCTCATCCAGCCAGAAGATCCTCTGGGTGGGGAGGTCGAGGGCCAGTGCTGTGGGCCAGCCCAGTCCCTGGGCCAGCAGCACATGCCGCCAACTCCCATCCATACTGGCCTCCATCAGCCGTGAGTGGCTCCCCACCTCTGACCAGTACATCAGCCTAGTGGGAAGAGAGGTGAGGGCCTATGGACCTGACACAGCACCATCCCAGCACCAAGGCAGCCCAGAAGAGCAGCCTGGAGCTTCCCCTCTCATCATGGGTGTATTGAGAGCTCCATGCAGGGGCAGGGGCAGGTGTCTGGGCTCTTTCTTCCTCTGTCATGTGCAGTCCCCACAGCACCAATGTGAGGGCCATTCCACCTCTTCCCCTGCTTCTCCCATCCTTTCCTCCTTCATGGAGGAAAATGGGGCACAGCAGGGATGGCAAGGGGAT